TAGCTTTGTTTAGGCTCATTTTTGTGACTTATCAGACCTGCCATAACTCTATTTTTGGCTTTCTGGTTCACCTTTTGCATGCTTTTTACACTTGTAGTGTAATCCATGCTTACTAGTCAAACATGCTTGATGTTTTGGCCAATCATGCTAGCTTATTTTGGCTCTACTCCATACATGTTTTAGCATTATTTTGACATGCCTTAGGACTCTTTTGGGCTGCCTTGGTCATATTACTCATGTTTTGTATAGCTATAGTGCAAATGCCTTGACTAGTCTTGAGTTTTGAGACCACTAGCATGCTATATTTGTGATGTATGCATGATATGGAATCATTTGGTATGAAATTTCAGAGCTTATATCTTTACCATGCTTCCACTTAAATCACTCTTTAAGTGCTTCTGGGAGTTATGCCTTATATCTTACTTGTGAGCCAATTTGTTGGCATGTTTGTCTAGCCTTTTGAACTTCAATTCCAGCATATTTAGGCCATTATTTTGATGTGATTAAGCTCTTTCCAGAGCTGGTTTAGTCCATTGAGCCTTGTATTACATGGTTCTAGTGTTGTGTTCTTCACTAGTTTCAATGTTTAAGCCTACTAGCATGTTGTACTTGGAGTGTTTGCATGTTAGAGTCTTGTTTATCATGCCAGTTTTGCATTGAAAGATCTACCCTCCTCCTCATTTCTTCACTTTTGATTTGTTTTGAGGATTGGTTAGTCTTGAGTTTGAGTTTAATGCACGGGATTAAGACTTGTGCTTAAATGGCTTTAACTCTCTCTTTTGAGGGTTCCTCCTAGTCAAAGACATGGTTTCTCCTATGCCTTAAACTATTCTTTTGATAGACCTCTCTCTTATTAGAGGACTCTCATATTTGGACAAGTTGATTAATGAATGGATTGGTAATGTTAAAATGTGTAAACAAAATCAATCAAGTAAAATGTGCCAAGGTAAGCATGTTGCATGTGTGCATTGCATTGTGTTCAACCGGACTTCATGTTGAACATAAGGTGAATTGGTCCATTTCATACTCAAAGTGATGAAAATGAGCCAATTCCCTTTGTCTCCCTTACCTTTGATCTTCTATGATAAGGTAATGGTCCTAGAGTCTTGTTTGCATTACACTTATTAAAATGTGTGCAAGTTGGATCTTTAGCCATCATGCATTGCATGCTTGATTGATGGTCTTGGATCCAATGGTGCCTCTCCCGTGATGTTTTGAGGTGATATGGAGGGGTATAGTTGCACAACATTTTCTTGCTAATGTATTGCCATGCCCTTGTTTGTACTCTGCTGTAGCAAAAGGAGCAGTCTGCAGGAAGAGATGGCCGATCGGCTATCTGCAAAAGCAATTTTTGGCCGATGGATTCATAAGCGGTCGAAAACCCATTTCCCTTGGCCGATGGCCTCTCAGAATGTCCTTGAGGCAGGTCAGAAGCATCACAGAAGTTAGCATAGTTTTCAAAGGTGCAGAACAGTGCAAACAGAGGCAACATGGGACCTGGCAACGAATTTCTAAGAGAAATCGGCCGAGCACGCATGCATCCCTCGTCATGAGACCATTTCAGTGTTTTAATAACCTGGAATAGTTATTTGTTTCAATTTGGTTACGTAATAATTAATTAGCTTGTTAGTTAGTTAATTAGTTGGCTTGTATTATTTATTCGGACCCTCCGTCGAGAGGGCACAATTGTGTAATAAGTGTGCGTGAGTGTGTGAATGTCTTCCAACCTCACATCTTTCTCCCTTTTACTTACCTGCTTTTGATGGTTAGTTTTAGGGCATGTTTCAATTATCATCCTCATGTTTGCATGCATGCATCATTCATCTGTCTTTCATACACCGAGCTCGGTGCATCATACAAACTGCATTATGTTTCAATACCAATTTGAATACATGATTATCAAATTGCATTTCATATGCCATCTTAGAATAGCCGAGCCTATTTCTAGTTGCATTTTGTATGTGTTGCATTAGGCATCTTAACATAGCTAGGATCATGCATTGATTACTAACTAGCTATTGTTTTGACTCGGAGTACTAGGTAAGCTTTTATGCTTTAGCATCTTGCATGTGTGTGAGTGATTGCCATGATAGCATGCTTGCCATGAGGCTATCTGCTTTAGTGATATAAACTGCCTGAATGCCTGTGGGTGAAGGTTGGATTGCTTGAATTGGAACAATTCATTGAAATGCGGGTTTTAAGCCCATTTGAGAGTGGCAAAATCATGTTTTCTAAGCCCACTTGAGGGTGGCAAATCCACGTCGTAGCCTACTTGAGGGTAGCAACTTCAAATCATTTTCAAACAAACAAACATGAGATGTTTTGTTCCAAATTGAGCGATCGAGTCTATACTTCTATGCTGTGCGCATCACATAGTAATTCTAGCTAATAAACCGGAATAAGAACACATATGTTTCCAAAAACAAAATATCATGCTTAGTACAGGACGATCTTTGGATCGGGCGAGCGGGGGTGCTCATTGCATGACCTTCCCCTCTCGTACCCAAGTTCCCGAGCTGAGGAAACTTTGGTGATGACGGACACGTGGCCTTAGGCAACGAGTCAGGGTTTCCTAAATTTTCTCAAGAATAAAACATTAAGGTGGCGACTCTGTATCTAGCAAAGCAGTCCATGTTTGGCACTTCTTTACAAAAATCAGTTTTCCAAAACGATTTGCTAGATTTGGACTCTTTGATGATTTATCAGTCTTACATTGGACTTTGTAGGATTAGATTCAGAACCGTGACTTTGAGTCCAAACTGTAGTAGCCCAATGAACAAAACAGATTTCGCGCCATTTCACACGCGGAGCCGTGACGTTCAGGCACGTCTATACATGCGTAACAGAATTTCCAGATTTAATACAACATAAGGATTAGAATGAAGGGACCATTTTAGATTTTTCACCGGACCCGGCCTTCCTATGGTTCGTATATAATTTGATCTAGTTTTCAGAACATATTTCGGAAATGGAATAGCTTTTGTAGATTTTGAGTTATTTAGAAAACACTCCAGCGCTGTCCAGATTCGTCGACCGTTATTGATTTTGTTGCAAACCGCTCACTATTTTTCAATGAAACCAATTTTAGTTGAAAGCCAACTCCTTATGGGAGATTTTGACATAAAATAGAGGTCCAGAATAATTTTCTACATTTTTCTAGAAATTTTGAAAGTTAGCTGCGAAAATAGATTCTAAGGCACAATACCCAAAATAAGAAGATTTGTGAGAAAAGGGATCCACTAAGGGAAATTTTTTGTTTCTTTTGTGATGAAAACATGCTAACTAACATATATTAAACTCAGAAAATTTGCTTGAAGGTGTGCCTTTGGAAAGTTTGAGAGATTGGTCCGAAAATGATAGTTTTGTACCGAAATGAGAGAAACTACAAGAGAGGTAGAATCATGGCTCAACTCTTATCATTTTCAACACAAGGAAACCATTAATAACACATCTGAAAACAATGTTTAGAACCCTTAAGAACATGTATTTGAAAAAGGAAAATGAAAGAGAAGGTTGTGTTGTGGCTTACTTGCTAGGCTTGAACAAAATGGTTCTCCTCTTCCTTCCTCTCCCTCTCAAGACTTCTCTCCTGCTCTCCTTTCTCTCCTCTAGGCCGAATGTGTGTGTGAGTGTGTTGTTTGTGTTTGTCATGCTAGGGGGTGGTGGTATTTATAGGCAATTTTGGTGTAAAAAGACATAAAGGCCCACTAGTTGGAATTGGATGGAAAAGTTTGGATTTACTTGGAGTCTAATGGAATAGGGAGTGATTAGGGGACTTAATCATGGGATTAGACAATATCTAGTTGGTCTCTAGTTGGAGTGAAACTAGTGTTGGGAACAAAACCCTACGTTTAGGGGTAATAGGTGTTAGGGTTTCTAGAATATCATAATTAAAATTTCTTGAAAATAGGCCCCTTACAATCTCCTAGGGTGGCCGACCATTGGGAAGGGAGATGAGGCATTTTTTTTATTCATTCTAGGAACTATAGACACATTTCCCAATGTATATATATACAGATCTCAAATTGATTGATGGTACCTATAGTATAAAAGTACATGTACTAGTTTTGGGGTAATTCTAGAATTTAATAAAGAAGTAAGGGCCAGGAATTAAACTCATGTATTGGAACCTTACTTACGTGGAATTAAATTTAATTAGGCTAAGGAACCTAATTCAGCTAGGATATTCCTGTTTCGATAAAAATAAAAAAAATGCTAACCGACAAGATTTGAAATAATTCAAGAAACTGAGGGGCTTTAAGGAAATAATTCAAACATAAGGGTTTTTTAAAGAGAATACATTTTTCAGGGGCTTCACAGGTTATGACCCAAAATCCATAGGGGCGGGTTCAGGTCATGATAGAGTGGTATCAGAGCACGAGTTAATAACTCACACACTTGTCCAAATGAGCAATAAGAGTCTAGAAAAGATCTAGGATGCATTCATGTGAGAAGTATGAATCTAAAAGCATCAAAAATATGCTTAGATGTTCAAAAGTGAACAATTACGTGCTATAAGTTTGTGATTGCTTGCATTGCAAATTATTTGAATATGTGTGCTCTTTAGTATATGCATACTTGTGAATCTTTTGTATAAAGAATAATGCAAGTCTAATCAGATGGTGAGAACAAGAGGTGATGAAATAGAGGAGTCTTCTATTGCCAGAATGGATAGAATGGAAAGATTGATTTAGGAAATGGCAAAAACATTGAGGCAACAACAGCAATGGAAGCAACAGTGGCAACAACCACATCCTCCGCCGCCTCCTCCTGTACCACCTGTTCAAGATATTCAAAATGATAACCGAATAATAGCCCTCGCCAAAGAGTCTAAGAAAATGAAACCAGCACAATTTCATGGAGGATTGGATCCGTTGAAGGCCGAAGCATGGGTTCTCGGCATCAAAAAGCTATTCGAAGTGTTTCCTTGTTTAGAGACATAGAAAGTACCTCTAGCCACTTTTACTCTTGAAGATGAGGCAAGAAGGTGGTGGATACTAATGTGTGAAAACATTAAGGGTATCAGTTGGGCACGGTTCTTAGAAATTTTCTATGACAAATACTTTCCACAGTGTGTCCGAGACAGAAAGATGTCAGAGTTCATGGAACTTAAACAAAACAGCATGACAGTAGCTGAGTATAAGGCTAAGTTCACTGAATTGGCTAGATTTGCACCACATATGGTCGACACTGACTACAAGAAAGCGAGACATTTTGAAGGGGGACTCCAGAATGATATCTTAGAAAAGGTAAATGTTCTCATGCTGGAGACCTATATTGAGGTGTTAGACCGGGCCATAATATCATAAGCTAACATAGCTAGACAAGCCAAATCGACAACTGACTGGAAGGGTAGTAAAAGACAAGGCTTCTTTTCGAAGAAGAAATTTTCAAAGAAACAGAATACGAGCTCATCGAGTACTTCGAATTCTTCCCGAGACACATCTCCAATATGTAATATTTGCGGTAAAAGGCATCACTGAGTTTGTTACCGTGTGTCAGGAGCTTGTTTCAAATGTGGTAAAACGGGGCATATGGCCAGACATTGCAGCCAGAATAGTGGAAAGTTAGCTGCTAGCTCAACTGCATCGATCCCAAAACCGGGAAACACCATGAGATCTACTACCACCGGAGATACCGTGAAGTAAGGGCAAGTTTTTGTGCTTATTCTAGGCGATACACGGAATGCTGAAACTATTGTCTCAGGTACTATTTCTATATGTAATCAGGATGCTTTTGTGTTAATTGACTCTGGATCAACACACTATTTCGTAACTTTTGCGTTTACACCTAAACTGAGTAGACCTCTAGAACCCTTACGATATTTGCTATGTGTATGTGCTCCATCCGGGGAATCTGTGTTGTGTGCATCTGTATATCAATTTTGTGACATGCATATTATGAATGCTATTATGTATGTGGACTTATTACCATTGGACTTTAGACATTTTGATGTAATTCTAGGCATGGATTGGTTAACTAAATATTGCGCCACCATTGATTGTGTAACAAAACGTGTTGTATTTAAACCACAGGGCATGAAGAAATTGTGTTTGTGGGTAACGAGGTAGTGCCCCCACCATATTTGATATCTGCAATGAAAGCATGTAAACTGATTAGGAAAGGGTGTCAGGGTTATTTGTGTTGTGTGCTATCTGAACAATCTGTGAATGTTAAATTGAACAGTATCCCTCTTGTTAGAGAATTTCCAAATGTGTTTCCAAATGAATTGCCAAGGGAATTAGTGGACAGGGAGATAGAGTTTACTATTGAAATTGTGCCAGGCACTTAGCCTATTTCTAAAACTCCTTACAGAATGGCTAGTGCTGAAATGAAAGAATTGAAAGAACAGTTGCAAGACTTACTGGACAAAGGCTTCATCCGACCTAGTACTTTACCATGGGGTGCACCGGTGTTATTTGTGAAAAAGAAAGACGGAACCTTGTGCTTGTATATTGACTATCGAGAACTGAACAAGGTGACAATAAAGAATAAATATCCCTTACCTCGTATTGATGATTTGTTTAACCAGTTGCAGGGATCGCAAGTATTTTCCAAAATTGATTTGAGATCCGGATACCACCAGTTGAAGGTAAAAGCAGAGGACGTTGAGAAAACTGCATTTCGAACAAGGTATGGCCATTATGAATTTCTTGTTATGCCATTTGGGGTTAGTAATGCTCCTGCAGCGTTTATGGACCTGATGAATCGAATTTTTAAGACCAACCTTGATGAATTTGTTATAGTTTTTATTGATGACATTTTGATATACTCAAGGAATAGACTTGAACATAAACAAAACCTGAGGACTATTTTGCAAACGCTTAGAGAAAAGAAATTATTTTCCAAACTAAAGATATGTGAATTTTGGTTGGATGACGTTATTTTCTTAGGGCATGTTATCAACAAGGACGGAATTTCAGTAGACCGACAGAAGATAAAGGCAATTGTAAATTGGCCTACACTGACTAATGTAGCAGAAATCTGCAGTTTTATGGGCTTAGCTGGGTACTACAGAAGGTTTGTGAAGGAATTTTCAAAAATAGTTGTGCCTCTTACCCAACTGACACGCAAGGGGCAGCTGTTCGAATGGAACGACGAAAGAGAAACTGCCTTTCATGAGCTGAAAACAAGACTGACCACCGCACCAATTCTGACACTACCACCAGGTATGGAAAACTTTGTAATTTTCAATGATGCATCTTATAAAGGTTTGGGTTGTGTGTTAATGCAGAATGGGCGAGTAATTGCTTATACCTCCCGACAGTTGAGACCACATAAGAAGAACTACCTAACACATGATTTAGAATTAGCTGCAGTTGTATTCGCTTTCAAAATCTAGCGGCATTATTTGTATGGGGCAAAGTGTGAAGTCTATACAGATCACAAAAGCCTAAAGTACTTCTTCACTCAAAAAGAGTTGAATATACGGCAGAGGAGATGGCTTGAATTGATAAAAGATTATGACCTTCAGATTCAGTACCACCCCGAGAAAGCTAATACAGTTGCTGATGCCTTGAGCAAAAAATCGATGGGGGAGTTTGGCTTGTTTACTCACCGAATAGAAAGAGATCTTGCAAGATTTTGAGAAGCCCAAAATTGAAGTGGTATTGTGTGAATAGAGCGGATTGATAGTTGCCATTTCAGCCAAACCAGCAGTCATTGATAAAATTAAACAGAAACAGAAGAATGATGAATTCCTTAAAAAGATAGTTGATGAATTTGAAACGAATCTAAGACCGGAATATAGTGTAGTGAATGAGGTACTAAAATTCTGAGACAGATTGTGTGTCCCAAACATTCCCGAATTGAAGAAGAGAATTCTAGATGAAGCCCATAAGTCAGTGTTTGGTATGCATCCTGGCAATAATAAAATGTATCAGGATTTGAAACAAAGCTGTTGGTGGCCCAAAATGAAGAAAGACATTGCTGAATATGTATCCAAATGTCTTCAATGCCAGCAAGTTAAAGATGAACATCAGAAACTGGGTGGTCTACTTCAACCTCTCCCTATTCCTGAATGGAAGTGGGAGCATGTGACTATGGACTTTGTTGTTGGTCTACCCTGAACTCCTCGAGGTATGGATTCTATTTTGGTTGCAGTTGATAGACTGACTAAATCTGCACATTTTCTACTTGTTAGAACTACATTTGATGCTTATAGACTGGCTAGTATATATGTTGATGAGATTGTCCGTTTACACGGAATTTCGGTATTTATTGTGTCGGATAAAGATCCTAAATTTGTATCTAGATTGTGGAAGAGCCTACAAAGAGCAATGGAAACAGAATTGAGATTTAGTACCACATTCCATCCACAAACAGATGGACAATCAGAATGGACCATACAAACTTTAGAAAACATGCTCAAAATGTGTGCTTTAGATTTTCAAGGGAGTTGGGAAGGTTATTTGCCACTCGCAGAGTTTGCATACAATAACAGCTTCCACTCCAGCATCGGTATGGCACCATACGAAGCTTTGTATGGCAGAAGGTGTAGATCACCCATTTGTTGGACAGAAGTTGCGGATAGGGCTATACTTGGGCCTAAAATTGTGCAAGACACTTCTGAGAAGATTAAAATTATTCAACAACGACTTAAAACAGCTCAGAGTTGACAAAAGAATTATGCAGACGTTCGAAGAAGACCTCTTGAATATGAGGTCGGTGATCATGTGTTTATTCGTGTGACGCCGATGAAGAGCCAAGTAAGATTTGGAAAGAAAGGTAAATTGTCGCCCCGTTACATTGGACCATTTCAAATTCTGGAAAAATTAGGTCCAGTTGCTTATAGAGTTGCTTTGCCACCGGGATTCGAACAAATCCATAATATGTTTCATGTGTCGATGTTGAGGGATTATCTTTAAGATCCATTTCATGTGATCGATTATCACTGGATGGCTCTTGATGAAAATATGGAGTACGCAGAATGGCCGGAACGAATCATAGACCGCCAAGTGAAGCAATTGAGAAGCAAGTCCATCCCGATGGTGAAAGTGGAATGGAAAGAACATTATGGGACGGACGCTACATGGGAAAAAGAGGATGAAATGTGACTACGCTATCCACATTTGTTTCCCGACAAAGGTAAAATAAGTTTGGAGACCAAACTTCCTAAAGGAGGGAAGACTGTGATAACCCTATCCCGTATTATGTTAATTAACCATAATTTTACTTGTGATTATGTGTTTAATATGATTTTGAGTACCATTTATATGATTATATGTGGTTTTGATTTTATATCTGTTCACCGTAGGAAAATCTGTTTAACTTACTGTTGTAAACTGACAATTTGAGGGCCTTATCGGCCATAGAAACCGAAATTGACCACGCCATTGTAATTGACGTAATTTTTAGAGCCTATGGTGAAATTTAATTGAAAATAGATTCGGAACGAAATAATTTGATTCAGAATGATTAAATTAAACTCTATCACTTAGCCCAAAATCAAATTTGATTAGGCTATCCTATATAAAGGCCTATATAGCCTCATATTATGGTTTTGAACTCATATTTGCTAAGATTACCCTCTAGAGAGGGAGAGTGTGCCGATTATACAAACAGAGGGAGGAAGCTCAAGTTAGAGATTGAACAAGGAGCTTGAAGATCTTGAAGATCAACTGAATAATTAACCATAGTTTGGGTGATTAGAGCTTCTAAGTAAGCATTTGAGCATAAATTCATCGGTGCAAGTTTGTAAATTTGTGTATTCAAGCTAGTTGGGTAATTAAGAACATAAATTGAGATGAAATTGAAGAATTTAAAGCTTATATGTACATGCATGCATAAAATTGCTATGAATTTGCATATTTGAGCATGAACTATGTAGAACAAATAGAATTGAGCACCAAATCTCACATGCATGCATGATTTTCATGAGTTTCATGATATTAAGTGTCATTTATACCATTTGGAATAGAATTGGAGTCAAGAATTGACTTGCATGCGTGATTGATGAAGAGATGGAATTGGTATGAAGTTAATGCAAATGTTTTGGAACTATGTAAAGAATTCAAAATGATTTGTGGAAAAGGGACCATGAATTTGAGCAGTTAGCCTCATATTGTTGTTGTCCTCATGTTATGTAATATGTTTCCATGTTTTTGTGTCCAAAACATGAGCTTTGAACCTTTAAACATTGAGTTTGAACTCCAAGAACAATTCTGCAAATTCCAGAATTCGGCATGTCCGCGCGAGAGTGGGAACCGCCGCTCGAGCGTGAAATGCTAGCTCCCAGAACTTTTGTAGACATTGATGTCTGCTCGAGCAGGGAGATTCACGCTCGAGCGCCAAGCCACGTAGTTTGACTTTTAGCTCGAGCGTCCGATGTCACACTCGAGCATAAAAATGAGGCAAACAGTACTTTTGCAGACCTATTGGTTCTGCTCGAACGGGTAGCCCTGTTTCAAAAATTTTGTAAAGACGTTTTGTATTTCATTTTCCGTTCTCTTTCATTTCTAAGCACTGTCAGGCATGCATTGAACATCGTAAATGGATTAAGAAGATAAGAAAGAGGCCAGAGAGGAATATATAAGTTAAGAATGGATTGAATCATTTGTGACCCATTATATTTATGAAATGTATAGGGTCAAGCACAAGGGCAAACCATCCGGCAGATCATTATGAGTAATATCTCAGTAAAGATACGTTAAAGTATGCTATTTGTTCAATTGCTTACTCTTATATGAGTTTCACAAGTCTGCTAATTTGAATGATTGGGCCAAAGGCCGTTTGATATGAATGATTGGGCCAAAGGCCGTTTGACATGAATGATTGGGCCAAAGGCCATTCGACATGAATGATTAGGCCAAAGGCCGTTCGACATGAATGATTGGGCCAAAGGCCGTTCGACATGAATGATTGGGCCAAAGGCCGTTTGACACGAATGATTGGGCCAAAGGCCGTTGAATATGAATGACTGGGCCAAAGGCCGTTGGATATGAATGAATGGGCTAAAGGCCATCGGATATGAGTGAATTAGGCTCGAGGCCATTTGATACATTTAGAACTTTAGTCGTTTGATACATTAGATAAAAACATGAATTGCGCCTGAGGCCGTCTGATGTAACTATTTCAAGGTCGTTCATGTATCTTCTCTACTTGATATTATTCACTGGGCTTTCACTCACTCTCATTCATGTGTCAGTAGGTGAGCCAAGAGATGTCCAAACCCAGCCCCAATGAAGTATGTGGGAAACAGTCGGAGTTTTGAACAGTCAGCCCAAACGTCTCACGCACGAGACTTCCTTTTTGCCATTTTGTTCTTTTGTTATACTTTTGCTAATGTTGGCGAAAACGTTTGATTACCTTGTATATAAGTTTTGTCTGGCTGACTGTATGACTAAAAGTTCTTAGTTATAGATTAACTCTATGTGTATGTGTGAGTTATTATGAAATATTTTTGCTATACATGTAAGCACAGCTCTATGGACAAAGTTTTATGTTGCTTCCGTTTCGGCCCCTTAACTCTGTTAGAAAATGTTTTATTTGGTTTAAGGCTATAGGTAATCTCATGATTACTGGCCGGTTATGACCCAAAATCCATAAGGGCGGGTTCGGATCATGACACCTGCGCAGGCATGCAACCCATTGTTGTGTTGGTCACTGACAAGTACAAAGTCAACGGCTTCCTCGACTCTGGTGGTGACAACACGGGTGGGTTCTGAAGGAACTGTTTGATCTGCTCAAAAGCAACCTGGCATCAGTCATCCCATTGGACTTTCTTTCCTTTCTTCAGGAGACCAAATAGTGGTTCACAAGTCAAGGTTAATTTTTGCAATCAACCATCTTACGAATTGCACTTTACCCAGAAAGCCTCGCACCTCCTTTTCAGTCTTTGGTGGTGGCATTTCTAGGATAGCCTTGATTTTGGAAGGATCGACCTCAATGCCCCTTTGTGTAATCAAGAACCCTTGTGACACCAAAAATGCATTTCTGTGGATTCAACTTCAACCGATATTTTATGATCCGTTGGAAAAATTTCTTCAAGGCGGTGTAGTGGCCCTCTCTTTCCTTGGACTTGACAATCATGTCGTCCATATACACCTCAACCTCTTTGTGGATCATATTATACAAGATCGTGGTTACAGCCCGTTGTTAAGCAGCCCCAGCATTTTTCAGACTAAACAACATCACCCTATAGCAGTAGGTTCCCCACGGCGTGGTGAAGGCATTATTCTCTCTATCTTCGGGTGCCATCAAGATCTGATAATACCCAGAAAACCCATCCATGAAGGAGAGCAAGGCATGGCCTGCGGTGAAGTCCACTAATTCGTCGATGTGCGGTAGAGGAAAGTCATCCTTTGGACTAGCTTTGTTCAGATCTCTAAAATCCACACACAC